ATGTCTTTAATAGGCAGCATCCTTTGCAAAGTGGCTAATTTTCCCACATGCTAAAACTAAGAATATCAAGTAAACATAATGAGGGAACGAATTTATTGGCTAGTGTCACAAATATTCAAAGGCCTTGTAGTTGAGTATAATGATGGAACAAGAAAAATACAATCCCCTCCTTTCTTTGGATCCTATGACAAAGTAGCCCAGAGGCATAAAACAGATCAGCAAGAAAGATTCAAATTGTCACGACATATATTCCTCATCCTAATCCCAAAAGATAGGATATCAACAGACGGAAATTAAAAATCAAGTATGATTCGATAGTACATAACAATGTATCTCTACTCCATTCTGGACAACTCATACCCTTGATGCACCACTTAGTAGCCTCACATTGACACCTGGTTGACAGGAATTCAGAGGCAACAAGACTACAAACAAATAAAGGCTAGGAGCATAGAGGCCCTAAGATATTGACTTGAATTACAGTAGCAAGCAATTGCGCCCTTCAAAGACATAAATGACAATATTAGTATTTTCAACTTCTCAAAAAAGATACCAGTATTTTCAAATAATGACATTTCACCTGCTACTTTACCCAATAGAATAAGTTTATTTAGCAAATTTTTTCCGTTTCTCTTATCAGTTTACAGTTTCTTTCTCAGAATAAGTAAGAACCTTAAAGACTTAAAGTTAGAAGCTAGGAAGCGCTAACTGAAGCCAACAATTACAGGAACATAATAAGAAAGAATTGGTGTCCACATGTTTTTAATCATATTTGATGCAGGAAACAGTGTGACATTCCAAATGATATAGGACTCTCTACAGATTAAGTTTTGTTCGGATTTCTTTTTATCTTTAGGTTTTTCCTGTTGACATAGGTTTTCTTATTCTGTACTTCTGTGGTTCTAGGACATTATCACTGATTTTTACATACCAGATGAACCAAAGACGCAGCTTGATTATCTTCTGCCTACTGCTGGATTTTCATTCTCAAATATTTCTCCGACTTAGCTGCAATAATTTTCCCCATTAATTATACACCCTATTCACATAGGGGTCCAGGAAAAATTTGTTTCATCAGGTCTGCAGATTTCGTATAAACAAATATGAGGCAGGCCATTTAGGGGGAATAACACTTAGTCATTCTTTTTTCATTGAATGCTTCAGTCCGTTTAAAGAACTTTTCCTTTGCTGCATAGCAGGGAGAACCATTCAAGAATTCTAGCAGGACAGAGGTCTGCTAACTGTTCTTTTATAATATAAATATATATATATATATATATATTAGAATGATACAAGATAGGAGGATTACATATCCTAACCCAGAGAAAATGAAAAAAAAAAACAAAGGAGAACCTCCAACTATTTTTGGAAAAGAATAGCTAATCAAATCTCTATGAAATAGCCAAAGATATATCTTTCTAGTGCCAATGTATGTAAAGTAGAGAAATGTATATCTTTCAAGTACCAACGTATCCTAGCCTGAAGTGAGGCCAAGAGTAACCTCTGAAATTTCTAGCATTTCTCTCAAGCCAAATCAACCATAACCTAGAAGAAGAAGAAGACGAAAAAGAAGAAGAAGAAGGAGGAGGACGACGAGAAAAACAACAAAAAAAAAAAAAAACAGGACGCCAGCTTTAGCCCTCTTACGTGCACGCCAAAGAGCTTTAGCCTCTTACTTCCAAGTGAATCAAAAAAATTAGAAAAACATTTAAAAAGAATAAAGAGTCTAATGGTTAAAGGATTATGAAATTTTCATATTAAAAATTTATGCAGAATAAACAAGAAAATTATTTTGACGCTATGAAACAAGGGATTGTTTATGATCAAAAGCAATATACTCAAGTAAGGAAAACAATAAGAAGATTTAGAATATTATTTACAGGCATTGGAACAAAAACTGTTCTCACCCCAAGCTTTTAATATATGTCCTTAGTCTGTCATTAGCTGGAGCAATCTCCAGTAGATAGACAGATAGAGAGCTAAATGCTAAAAGAAAAGGCACCACGCAGAAAAGGGATTACCAATAACTGTTTTCGTATGCCCATAGGCTTGTAAGAGTGTTAGAATCCGGGTCATAGAAATTCATAAAGATATAATACCACTGCATCACAAGTGGCTTCGGCAAAACTCCATAAAGAACCAAAAAGAAAAAAAACCAATCCAAACGGCTCTCTGCCCACCTCTCAGCAAATAAGCCAACATGAACCCCCAAAAAAGAAAGAAAGAGATTCATGAATCAAGCGTACTAAGTAACTTGAGTAGTAGCTTCTCAAGCAAAACACTTTGCAACCTCCTAAAAGAACTAATAGTCTAAAGCAAGAGATTTTTACAGACAGAACCTCCTAAAACAACTAATAGTCTAAGCAACAGAGACCAAGTAGGCATTTTGTCAAACATTTAGTAAGCGGTACCGAAAACTGAGATAAGGACGAAGAAACAAGAAACTGCAAAGTATATGCCTCATGAATAGCACAGAAAAAAATATGGAGAAAAAATGAAAGAATTTACCTGATGCTTTCCTGTTTAAGGAGAGAGTTGATGTTGGGTATGGCTCTCCGATGTAATCTAATGGGGAAGAAGCGCCGGAGGGGAAAACACAGAATAAAAATAAATTTAAAATATGTACAAATTATTTTTCAAATATTATTGAACTTCTACATTAATAAGTGCAGAAAATATAATTTATTTTTCGTAATAAATAAGGCACCGTATGGGTCAAGATATTTTCTGGTCTGTATTTATGACGATATTTATATTAAATTTATCAAAATTTATAGTTTATTAATATGTACGGTTTTTTTTTTCTTCTTTTTCTTTCCTTCCGCCCTTTCTTCGCAATAGTCGGTATTCACGACCCGATCGATTTCGTCTCTAAAGCCTTCATCCGCCGGCATCAACACCACCGGAACTGAGTATCGCGCTTGGTATTCGCCAATACCTACTCGGCACTGCTGTACGCACCCTCTGCCTGTCCCGCAAACAGGTAATTCGCTTGATCCTGTGACATTTAGTTTGGCGATTTATTATGTAGGTTTCAGTCTGTGAATTTAGTCAAACTGGTTTTTTAAGTTGTGTGGATATGATTGAATTTTGGTATTTGGCATTGCTCTATTTTAAAAGCAGAGAAATTTAGTGAGCGTTTTGCTCTGTTAACATGTTTGAATATTAGTAGACGGACATTGTGACGGTCCTAATTTCCTGTTGTAGGATTTAAATGTTTGTTAGCCACATAAACTTAATAAACATTGTGTTTATTCACCTAATGCTAACAGCCTGCAATTGCTTGGATATTGGCGAACAAGAATGCCTCCATACAGAGACGAGCCTCGAGCTGTTCGTGTTTATACAGTTTGTGACGAATCCAGGTCTATTTTACCCCTATCTTTATCTTATTTCTTTTTGCTCTTCATTTATTTATTTTGTTCACTTGTATGAGTTATCAACTTGTAGCTGCTACCTTTGAAGAATTAAGTTGAATCAACATCATAAACTTCTCTAATTTACTTAATTTCAGCATGCCAATTCACGTTTAGATTTTCTTTTCTTATTTTCAGGTATTTGATTGTAAGGAATGTTCCAGCTTTGGGATGCGGCAATGATTTATTGAAACTATTTGCTAAATATGGAGATGTTGAAGAGTAAGTAAGTTCTCTCCACTCTCTTTTTTTCTTCCTTAATTGCTTTACCATATATTTGGTTTGTAATTATTGCTCTTTTTTGTTTGTTTAATTGTCTTCGTCTTCTGCATTTTCATTCTCCAGGTGCAAACCGATGGATGCAGAAGATTGTGAGCCCTTCACAGATGTTTACTGGATCAAATTCCATCTCATTAGCAACGCAAGGTCTTTTTAGATCTAATTCTCATTAAGATTGTAGCCAATTATGTTGTTCACCGATTATCCAAAGACTAATCAATGCATACCCTTGTGTTCCCTTATGTTTTCTGAAAGCAACAGAGTGATGATTCAGTGGATATTTATGTGTATCAACTTTTTTGATAGGTTTGCAAAGAAAAAATTGGATGAGTTTGTATTCATGGGAAATCGGCTGCAGGTGTCATATGCTCCTTATTTTGAGAGCGTTGAGGACACTAAGGAGAAGTTAGAAGGGAGGAGAAAGGAGGTTATTGCAAGACTAAACCGTATGTTTTATTTGAACAGCTGTTGGATATTTGGTTTTGCAAAATATGGCATGCAGCATTATGGAATCCTCACACTTTCTCTTTGAAATGGATGCTGCTTGTGGTTCATGCTTCATGCTTTGCCATGTTTCTGATATCAGCTCATAAATCTAGAGGGTCTCCTGCTCAGAATACTGAAATTCCAAATGAGGCTCCATTGCTTGCCAGTCCAGCTCAAATGGATGGTGTTTCCCCTAAAATGACCGTTAGGCAAAGGTGGTATGCCCCATAGTCACGTTGCTTTTTTGTTTTACTGATTTTTGAGTATGACAAGTTTTGTTTTCTTTCCATAGGGACTCAGGAGAACTGAAACCCATTTCTCACATGAATGATGCTCCAATAACAAGAGTTTCATCTGATAAGGTTTGATTTGCTATTAAAATTTTATTTACTTTCACCAAATTTTGTTGATGAAGTTATAATAATGAGGACAATTGGCTGTTCTCAAATGGCAATAACCAAAGGCTATAATCCTGAACTTTGAGGTGGTCAGTAATATTCCAATGAAAATATTGAGCATAAATACTTGGATTTCTTGGTTAGCATGACTGTTAGTCTAATAAGCTTAAACATGAGGATTGAGTGCATGGTTCGGCTGCTTCAATGGTTGAAGTTGTTTAATCCAAGTTAGGGTAATTCATGTTGGTCGGATTGTGATGCAATAATGGGCAAATATTGGGTACATGGTGTATAAGGTCTTAAGCGACTAACACAATGCCAATTGATTATTACCTAAATAATTCCGCTAATGACTGAACTATATCAGGATGAATCAGCTAAGATAGCTGGTAGCAACAATATCCAATCTATAGTAACATTAGTATAACTTCCATGTTGGACCTGTATCTAAGGATCAGAGTTAGTTTGGGTTCATTGATTGAACCACTTATTGTTATTGGTGCAATTCTCAAAGCGTATCTCATTCCCAAACACCAGCCAATTTTTTCCATTGGAATGAAGCAATTGAACCTTCTCAACCTGCAGTTGCAATTTATAGTTGTTTGAGCAAGAAATTGTTCATTTAACATATTTTTTTAAAGTTCTCTTTGGAAATCTTTAGTTTAGACAACTTTAAAGCATTTGGCCTGTTATGCAGGGTTCTGGAAAAGGGCTGACATGTTGCCTAGAATTTTAACCAATTTCTTGTGAAATGGATCTCAGGATTATTTCGCGTCACCTTCAATGAATCAGACAGTTCAATTGGTAAGAGAGAAGCTCAATAAGGTGACGAATCTCTCCTTTGCTGTTATTTTTCAGAAGATTAAATTTGATTGTTAATTTGCCTTTGGTGATTTGTTTTTCTTATTCGTTTTTCCTTATTTTCAAAGATTCAAGCAAGCAGTGAGCATCTACATGCTGGACCTGTGTCGAAGAAAGCTCGAGCAGACAACAGAAGAAGAATTTAGTGCTTTTCAGGGTAGGAAACAGATGTCTTACCAAAATTTTGGGTCTTTGTTAATCCTATGTGTGCAGTCACCAAGTTTTGTTAATCTTTCCTTCCTCATTTCAGTGGTTTCTATGATGAACATCTAGCATGTTACCTCCCCTTGTATACTACAGTAGAAATGATAAATTGTCATTCTAAGCTGCAGTGAACAGTGGAAGCTTCAATTAGTATTTTGGTAAAATTATAATCATAAATTTGTTTAAACCAAATATAATATAAATAGCAAGTCGTATAATCATATCAAGAAAAGTTACTACATCTTTCCAAAAAAAAAAAAGTGAAATTACAACCCAAACACCATGGACCAGTGACACGGCATATAACTGCGCACATAAGTTAAGAGGAGTTTCTAACATGTTAGAATAAGGAACTAAGGAATGAGCCAACTTGTCTTGATAATTTTTGAAAAAAAAAAAAACTCCTTAACAATGCTTAAGTTAATTGTGAACGTCCCAAAATTTGGACAGCGTTTGATTTAGTACCTACGTAATGGGCAGCACATTACCTGAGCAGAACCAACCTTTGGAAAGTCTGTGAATCAATTCGTAGAAGTGACCTGCCAATGTCTGAAGTTATCTACCAATTTAAGGTCTTCAATTACACCTACTAGGTAAAAGCCAGTGTTAGCTATGAACCAATCGCTTTTTTAATTGCTCGTCATGAAAAATGCAACCAGTTGCTGTTTCTCTCAAGTTGCTCTTCGTAAAGCCATCTGTGTTGACCTTTACAAAACCTTCCAAAGGTAGGGTCTAGGAAATCCGAGGACAGACTCTTCTAATCAGCAGGCCTTTCCAAGTCCTTACAAATTGCGCATTTCAAATTTAGATGCCTGAACCAAGCTTTATATGGTGTATGAGGAATACAATGGGACCACAGAGAGTTTTTCGGCTCAAACCTAAGCTCCATAGGTAGCCTATTCTGATGACAGCAAATGCTGACAATCCAAGCAAACCACAAAGCCATATTATCTTTAGCACTTCTGGCATGTTCCTACATCCCTAAGAGGAGAAGCAAAGGAGCAGACCACCACAAACACAGATTAGAGAAAGAGAAATAAATACAAGTACCAAATAACATTTCCAAACTTCATTTTACAAGATTTAATTAGTTACTGCACATACATGGCATTTCTTTTGAAAGCAAACTGAAAGCGGTAACATGTCTGGAATTGGTAACATGTCACATGGAATGCAGGCTGTGAATGATTTTCTTTTGAGTAATTTGCTCCATAATTTAGGACAAGTACACTTGGACACCAGCACTTTTCATCTGCTGGCATACAGGACAAACATTAATTAACACATCACAGTCTTTACATAAGCAGAGGTGCCTACAAGGCATCAAGAGGATGGAGACCTCCTTAGCTTTGCATGCTCGACAAATCATGTGCTCCTTCAAACCATGGAGATTCCTGGGAATAGTTTTTGCAGCACCACCTGGAATGCTCAGGTAGTTGTTTGGGTCAATGTATGAGGCAGCATCATCAACTTCACTGTCTCCAAATCCTTCCTTTCCTTGGTCAGCACCCTGTGAAATTGCCTGCTGGAGGTTGTTCTTTAGGACATTAACAACCGACTCATTGTACTTCGCTCTATAGTGCCAGTTCTGAGCTTCCATAGCCACTTGTTTTATCTTCTCAATGAGCTCCCTGTTCTTGCGATTCATGTTCTCTATCTCTAGGTCTTTCTCCCGTAGCTTCTTGCTTACACCCTTCTCTATAGCAGCAAGAAAGGAAGCCATATGCCTCTGCTTCATGTCCCTTACCCCCTTAGCTAAGTGTTCTTCCTGTTTAAACAGCTAAAAGGTCAGATGAAGGTCCAAACAGCAACACTAAACCATCAAATGCAACTACTAAAGCTAGATGCCTAACTACTGAAAGCAGTCTATGCAATACAGACCAAGCACCCTTGGGGTGTCATTATTATATATCATTTCTTGGAAAACTGAAAGATTCATCATTGAACACAATCAGACAAATGTTTAGGAATCCAGTGGGGGCATAAAGTTTATGTAATCATCTTAAGTAATGGTAATAAAGAAAGTGATGGAATGACATTCAAAGAGAAAGGGAAAGTAAGAGAATGTTTGGGGATGAAAAAGAAATTTAAGGAAAGAATATGCAAATTTCTTTAAGAATAAACTTGTTTAAAACTGGAAGAAATAAATAATTTGCAATATGTAATTAACCCCTTCTCTAGAAAATTAAAACCATAGAAGAAGTTGTTAGATAGCATCCACAGGAATCCTGATATTGGCATAGTACTAAAGCAGGAGGACGAGAAGCATCTACAGTTCCAATTGAGAGCAGTTAGAAGTAGTACCTGAATCTTAATATACTGATCAAATTCTTCTTTTTGTCGATCAAGCTCTGTCCTAATGTTGTCACCGAGGGACAGGATGATTGATGATGCTGCTGTCATACTTCCACTTGCAGAAGTAACAGATGAATTGTGCTCATCATCATCATATGATAGCCTTAACCCAGTGGACACAGGATTTGGGTTTGGAATGCTTGCTGTGCGGTCAGCATCATCTTGACAAAGGTTATAATTCAATGAAATCTGTAGCTTTTGCTGTCTCTGGATATCTTCTGTTTCCCTTCCTCGTTTGTTGGATCTAAGCATAGAGGTCATATGCTCATTTCGAAAATAATTTACTGGATCAACACTACACCCAGCTGCTACTGTAACATAGATTAAACACACTGATGAGTTCTTTGGCAGCAATGAAAGACGAGAAAACTTGGAACTTATCTTAGAGGAAATTAATCCATACAAGAGCAGAAACTAGTGAGGTTCAGTTTATCTAAAAGGAAAAAAAAGAAGCAAACTCACAGTTTCCAAATAACTGCAGCTGATTTGATGCATTAGTCTGATACTGGAATCGATTCTCATCCACAAAAACAGGAAGCACAGGGTTACCATTGTTGCCTCCCAACATTTTCTAGGTAAAGCTAAATGACCATAAATTGTATAACTTTCCAAAGGACGCTTGGCAACAATGCCAGTAGGAATCAATCTGCACAATAGAAAAAAGACCAATCTCTGAATTTCATAATGTAGAAGTAACAGCAACCACACAAACTCAGAAGAAACAGCCACAGCATAAAGAGTCCATGGAAGCATTGAATCAAAATATTATTTCCCATTTATATTGAGACAAGATATGTCCATGAAGTTTCACGCTGTGACACAAATAAATTCCTTGAAATTCGGAAATGGAAAGTAATGCAGTTGTAATATGGAAAAATCCAAAGGTATGAAACACCATTAATTCATTGACTTTTATTCTATTTTCTCAAGACTTCAGAATGCAAACTTTTCCTCATTCCTAGCATGGTCATTTTAAAATATTGTTTACCATCATCCCTAGTAAATAA